GTAGTTAGTTTTTTCTCTTTTTTTTGGTAAGTGTTTTACGGCGTTCGCAACTGCATTAGGTCATATGAGCGCACGGGACATAATATATTAAGCAATTATAGTTTGGTAGGAATTAATTTGGAATTTTGCCCAGACGACTGAAACTACTTTTATCAATCTTAGAATCACCCAGGGATCTTTCACTTGCACAACTTGCACACGGGGATCTCTGAGATTTTCGCCCTTTTCCGAGAAGGCTAAGTGTTTGATCTTACCTACCCTAAGACCTGGGGTGTGACTGAAAGGCAGCAGTAAGGAGCCAAGGAGTAACAGTAGAACGGCTGCAGAAAGAGTCAGTTGCCCAGATGAGAGGGCAAAGGGTTAAAAAAAGAGGGGGGCGGGGGTAGAAAGTGGAGAACAAAGCAGACCACAGAACATGGTTAGAGAGCAGGAGCGAAGGTGAGAAGATACAATTTTAGAGATTAACATTTCGCGTCGCTGTCAGGTTTTAAACCCTTGACTTGTTGAATCAGAGGCGAACATCGTACTTCGAGACTACGAAAGCCCCTCAAGATGTCTTCAGAGTACGTCACCAGCTCAAGGAAACTCCGCGGTTTTCTTGTTTATTCCGGAAGGATTCGATCCTTGGTCGCACCTCGAAACTGTGAAAAAAATATTTCATGTAATTACAACTTGGCAATTTCACTCGTGGGATAAATCATGATCAACCACAATAACGCATGTAATAAATTATTTATTTAATAAACTCAGTAAGCTGTTTTGGCTAGACATCCACCGTTTCTACAGTGAACCTTCATAATACTTTATATACGCTCGTAAACGCATGAGTTGAGAAGTGAGGCAGGGAGAGAGAGAGAGAGAGAGAGAGAGAGAGAGAGAGAGAGAGAGAGAGAGAGAGAGAGAGAGAGAGAGAGAGAGAGAGAGAGAGAGAGGGGAGAGAGAGAAAGGGGGGGGGGGGGGGAGAGAAAAGATCTATGAAAGGGATAAAAATAATGGTAATCGGTAACATCATTCTGCAAACGTGCGGCGAAAATCGGATAAAATCGTAGCTAACAAAAGTGGGATGAAATCATGCAGTAAAACGAAAATGTGCGGCGAAAACGAGTGTGCTGGTTCGATACATCCTCTGCATGTAAAAGAACCCAACTACAACCAAACCTCAAAAAATACTTTTTAAAGAAATTATGTTGGGGTATAATATATAATTAAATGTGATAAAATCTAGATCTATAATATAATTCTTCGGTACTACTCAATATTTCTTTTTCTGTACTCAATCACCCCCCCCCCAACAAAAAACAAAACAAATCAAACAAAACAAGAAGAAAATTAAAATTCCAACTATAAAGCATGGTGGTTGATAAAAGGAATTTCATAACATCAAATTATTACTGCTAATAATGCATATTATTATTCTATCTAGCATTTTGTTTGCAGTACTTTGAAATTCACTTTTGAATCTATCACAGCAGCAACATTAGTACCAATCAAATTATTATTTTCTTTAAAAACCCGAAACCATTAATAAAATAAATATTCTTATCTCATCTTGTCATGTTCAACTTGCACACTGACATTTCTTGGTCACATTTCATTTGCTCAGCAACTAAAGACTATTCACGCTAGTCAAACAAAAACCTAGCTCTTGCATATCCTACAGCTTATAGTTAATTTTCTTTGTTTTTTATTTTTACATGGAAATTGTTGGTAAAGTACGACAAAGGGGTCTTACAAGATTTTAATTTTTTTTTTAAAGGGGGGGGGGTGGGTGGGCTTTTGTTAAGTTTGCGGGTTATTTTTGAAAAAAAAATCAGTGGGGTTGGGGGGGGGGTGATAATATGGCTGGAGGAAGAAGTAATTGCATGTACTTTAAAAGAGTAATTAGAAATAGCTATAATAGGCCTATATGCCATCTGAAGTGGAACAGCGTTTATCTGTGGTGTAGAGGTTTGGCGTTTCGCTGTCTGTCGCACAAAGGAGACCCAGTATCCCAGTCTTCCTGTTGGGATGTTGGGAGATGTATCCTGGGTTGACCTAGAAAAGGGTAAGCCCGCCTTTTTAATGATCTCCTTTGTGTCGATGGGCTCGTAAAAACACCGTCTTTTAAAGAAAATTCATCTAAAGGGATAGAACAAACGAAGAGGGGGTGCAAAATCCCCCAAAACTTTACAATCTACACTAATAGAGAAAAATCTAAATTGTTATCTATGGGTAGAGAACAAGTGGGGTGGGGGAAAATCCCAACCATCTATTCTTTCAAACTTCTATGTTATATCAAGGGATAGGCGTAGATTCTAATTTACAAGCAATAAGGGGTAAAACAAGTGGTCAGGAACGGAAAAAAAAGAAAAAAAGAAATAAGTGGCTAAACATATTGTTTTTAAATGTCAAGGAAAGGGGCTCAGTGATAACATTTTAATTCCTGTATTTTTTCAAAATTTGTAAAGAACGGGAAAGCAAAAACAAAAGCAAAAAAACCCCTACAAAAACAAACAAACAAACAAAACTAATTACACCTCCCCAGAAAAACAAACAAAACAACAACAACAACATATCAAAAAAGAAAAAAGTAGTAACAAACAAACAAAAGCAACAACTAGAAAATTAAACAACAAACTTTAATCTATAGAAACTGTTGTAGAAACACAACAGCATCAGGCAATTTGTCACGGTGTGAGGTATATTACTATAGATTATAGATCTCTCGCTACCTTAGAATTACAAAACGAAGTGTATACAGACCTGGTAACCGGGAACAAAGTCATGAAGTATCACAGAAAAATTCTGTGCGAAGTATACAATCCGGTAGGGGAAATCTTTTGTGATATCGGAACGTTTCAGATGGTAAACAGATGGGACAATGACAAGGGGATAAAGTCCCTATGATAGTGTCTGAAGTTAAAAGACACAGTTGTATATTTTTCCTCTTTTCTACTCTCAAATTTTCTGTTCCAGACACGACCCTTAGCGTCTCTCTAGTCGCTTCTCTCTCTCTCTCTCTCTCTGTCTCTCTCTCTCTCTCTCTCTCTCTCTCTCTCTCTCTCTCTCTCTGTCTCTCTCTCTCTCTCCCCTCTCTCTCTCCCTCCCTCCCTCACTCACATATGCGCTCTCGCGCACGCACACGCACACCCCACACAAACACACACACACACACTCACACACACACACACACACACATACACACACACATACACACACACATACACGCGCACTACCGGGCTTTTTTGTTGTTGAGTTTTTCGCAACATGCCAAACTTGTTCAACTGTATTTCTTTGTAGAACTTGATAAACTTAAGAAAAGAACAACTTCTTTCCTTCTATTTTCTTCAGTTTGATCCAACAATGTTAGTTTGATGAACTAGGCTAATTAACTTCCCATTTTCTCCCCTTTCTAGATCTAGTTATCTCACAGAATTCTACACTTGGTAGTATTCTTTCGTATTGTGAGGTAAAAAAAACCCCCAGATAAATGATGGAAGACACTGGTTACTACTTCCGGGTTTGTTTAGCCACTTTCGTTTTCTACCGTTTCTCTTTCCTCTTGGTTTTGTCACAACCACTCTTCCAGCCGGCGTCCCAGCCGCTCTTACCCCTGACTTGAGCCTATTGCTGCCTCGGTAAGTTTAAGGTCTTTCAAAACTATTCCTTAAACTTTTGGAACGATTCTGCCCGGCAGACTGAATTTTGATCGGTAGAATGAGTCATATAAATTTGGATTTGTCTTCAAATTTTAGGTCCAAATTTTATGAGTCGTGTGTGTAGCAACAAAGACACGCCCCCTCATTATTAATCACAGGGCGTAGGAAGTTAGATCTAGAGATATAGAAATGTAATAAACACTTTTTTAAAAGACACACATATTTCTGAACCCTCGGGAGGACTTCCGAAATGAGGGACCACAATGAGACAGAGTAGAATAGAGGGATGCGGGCTGGGTTAGGAGTTCTGTGTTTGTTGGAGAGGTGGCTCATTATGATTAAATTAAGGAAGCCCTGCCTTCCAAACTCTTTTACTTTTAGTACAGAACATGCTTCTCTCCAATATGACACACTCATTAAAAGTATTTGATTTAATGTGCTTACTAAGTTTAGATCTATAGAACTTTAAAACTTAAAGATTGATTGGAATGGCATTTCTTTTACTGTATCACATTTCGGCAGGAATTCAATTCCATAACGAGCGACCACTATGAAATAGATAGAGAGGGTTAGGGGGGTCCCTTCCTTATTTTGTTTGTTAGGGTGGTCGCTGGTTACGGAAGTCCTTCCCAAATTTCAATGGCAATGAAACTGAAATGAAGATGCTAAGGGTCATGTCTGGAACAGAAAATTTGAGAATAGAAAAGAGGGGGAAAAAATACAAAAGAGTCTTTTAACTTTGGACATTATCTTATCATAGGGACTTTAACCATCTCATTGTCTCATCTGTTTACAATTTAGCACAGATAAAACACTCAAAACTTGAAATCACCAATAGAGCTAGATAGATCTCAATTTAAGTACAATGGCATTCTCCGACTACCACTTTTTTTTTGTATTGGCAACACTTTTCTCAATCATGATTTGTTGAGCAGCTCATCTAGTAAAACTTGATCAGATTTTTCCTTTCAAACATCTCAAATTTAAATAGCTATGTGCGCAAGATGAAAAAATACCCACACCCATCATCATGATGCACACACTGTTGGTATCCAGATCAGATGCCTCATCGCACATCACCATTAGAAAGAGAGTTGGTCTTCAACTCAATGCTTTGCATGTTTCTAAAATATCACGATAAAATTTAAAAATGCCAGCATTGGATGTCAACCTGATAGAAAGGTTTTTCTGATTCTGCTTTGAGTGTTTTACACTTTGTGCTGATGATTCATTACAGTATGTCCAAGACAATCCCAACTTTTTAGTTTGTTTTAGTAGAGGTTTTACTGGGCTCGCAACTGCATAAGGTCATATGAGCGCCAAGAGGTGGATGTGTCAACAGAGAAGTCCTTACAGGGATTTAGGCTTACTCTGCTCACCTCTCTAGCTTCAACAGCACAAAGTCTGCTTCGACTATCAAGGCACCCCGAAATAGCGGGTCACAAGAGTTGGACAAACATACAAAAGAAGTAGAGGAAAAAGGACGATGGTGAGGATTAGGAAAGAAAAAGCAGCAGTTCCCTGTTGCAGTTCGTTCAGGCACAGTTATGAGCATGACATTGATGAAGCAGCCCATTTACAATTCTACTGTGCATAAGAACATGTTAATGTCCCCGCTTTGGAAATGGCCTAAAAACACTGAACAGTCTGTAGCACCGCCCTGGGGGGTAAATCCCAACTTCTAAGGGGCAAGAGGGGAGACAGAGAGTGCACCGCAGTTGGACATTAAATGAGGTCTTATAGTAGTCATAGTGGCCTAGTGTTAGCCTATAGTGTTCTTTGTCTGTTTTTTTGGTCTTGTTTCACATTTGTGTTCATCATTGCATCTTTAAATTTTAGTAGATCAGGATTGCTTCTCTTCGACAAGTCATCTTTCTAATTAATATGATGTTTCCTTTTTTTTTTGTTTCAGTGCAGAGACTAAGAGATCAGTCAAAGCCCAATAATGGCGTGGCGTTTTAAAGTTTCAAAATATAAGAATGCTGCTCCTAAGTTTTTACGGAAAGAGGTACGTTGACATTTTTTTTCAGTGTTATTATATTGGTCTTTTTGTTAGCTTTATTGAATTTTATTCCTACAACAATGTTTTAAGTCATTGGCACCACAGTATTATATCACTTTTTAAACATTGAGCTATTTATAGTATAAATCTTGTACAAAAAGAAAATAGCCCCTCCAGAACAACTCTAAGTGTGTGCCTGCCAAATTAGGTCAAACACCTCATTTTGAAAAGAAATGTAATTCCTTTCTTATTATTGTCTTCCAAAGCTGATCAAACTTCCATGTAGAATGTTGTTTTTACTTTTATAGTATCCACCAATTGTAATTGCGGTTATGGATAACATAATCATGATAATTGGAGATAAAAATTAAATAGTCTTTGACCTAATTTGGTAGATAAACATTTATAGTCGGAAACCGACGATATCTCTATTCTGTTTCTACTTTTTTCTTACAGGAAAATATCCTAGACATCCCAGTATCTGATGTGGCTCAGTCGTGCGGAAATCATATTAAGTCCAGCTGTGTCTACTTTGCTTTCAACATTGACTCAGGAGGTATGTAACACTTATTTTTTAGTTTTTACATGGCAAGCCAGTTCAGCTACCACTTGCTATCACTGTGTTGTTTACTGTCACCTAAAAAAAACCTACGAAACCTCAGCAAATCTATTTTGTTTATAATTCAAATGTATGTTTAAGCCTACTGCATGAATAATTCATGGGGTTTTTTCAGTTTGGTGTTTATTTTATGTTAAAATTTCTTTTTTGTTGAAAAACTGGATGACAGAATTAGCTACGTTTCAAAGGTGGAAAAATAGCCTTCCGTTTACTAAGAGCTGAGAGAGAAAAGATAAGATACGATAACATAAGATACAACTTTATTGTACACATCCTGGTTTGGTGTTTCACCACGTAAACACGTACACACGCATACGGATCAACCTCCTGATTATGATGCAGGTCTCACTGTACTTTCTGCATGTCATGGCGAACTGAATTTTGAGTGTTCATGATAGCTATAGAATGCTATGAAAAGATTATGAGATTTGTTTGTTTTTCAGCCTCCACTCATCCAAACTTTTTCAGGGCTCTTAAAGAATTTATATTTTTGTATTGTGTGTTGATGTGCTTTCCACACTTCTGTCTACAGGTGGAGGAAATTTGGGTTTTCTCCCTTTATCGGCAAGTGGTCGCCAGGGGGGCTCACTGCCTATTCTTCAGGCTCATGGAGGTAGGAGTTAATTCTTTGTCTCTTGATTGTCTTTTTACTATTGTTAATCTGTAATCATTCAATGGATGGAAAAAAGCCGAGATTGCAAGGTAAAAATAAGAGAGAAATAAGCTGACCACCTCCTCTGTGTGTGCAGTGTCTGCGTGTCAGCATTCTGTCATATGGCTTGATATCGTTCTGTTGCAGATAAACCCATGAACATATGTTTTTCCCACCCGCATGGGAAGCTATGAGTCTTGACTTCCCGTTGCAAGTGAAATGGCATGCAGTCTACTAGCCTGCAGTGGCAATGTGGCATGCTTTGTCATCTTTAATGAGACATTGTAGCCAAGAAGTTACTCAATTGAGAATTATTTTTGACTCTTAGAAACCTAGTGTGTATCTCAGAAAGTTTTACCAAGCATTCTGTAGATGTCAGAAAAATAGAACAGCTCAGTTTGACAGGCTGCTGAATCATACAGTCTCAGCTGCTAGGCTGCTCCTATTTATTGTTAGCAGCCCTTTTGTTTTTCACTTTGCTAATCCTGAATCAGCCAACCAGGGTGTTAGCATTGAGAATATTATCAACCAACTGTTCAGATGTAATAAGCACAAAATTTTGAATGAAAAATATTTTTTATTGCAGTTTCTTAATCTGTTTGCATAGGTTGTATGTGCTGAAGTCATATATTTTGTTGAAATTGAAATTATTAATGTTGATCAAAAGCAGGAAAAGATACGTAATCTAGGTATGATTTTTAAATGAGGGAAGCATTTTTTTTTCTCTATCTCCTGAAAAATTTTGCTGCCTTTACTTAAAACAATTGAACAGCTTGTCAATGAAATGTAAATAAATGCTTCACAAGTATCTAATTCATGAAAGTGTATCTTGATCTGTAATATTTTAATTCCTTTTCCTTTTGTTCCTGCAGATGTCGTCACTGATTTTGACTTCTCACCATTTGATGACTACTTGTTGGCCACAGGAGCTCAAGATAACAAGGTGAGTCTCTCTGTTTATGTGTTTATTGTACTATTCTGATAGCCTGCTGAACATAGGTCTATGAGGGAACAACACCTGGCACTGTGGGGTTTCCAGGCCCTCAATTAATTCGTATCTTCGTACATACACATAAAGAAATAAAGGTATTGAGTTAGTAAAAAAGAAGGCCCCATTTTACCAATGATGATTATCCTCCCCCTCCCCTTCACGATTTGTGAACTCGCAAAATGTAGGCTCTTTTTTGTAATGTCAGTGGCACACTTTTTAGACTGATTGTCAGTGGGGTGTGTCCTGAAACTGAAAATGATTCTAAAACTCTAGCTGAAAGACAGGATATTGTTCTTTTTTAAAAATTGTATGATGTTATGAATTATAAAGCCTGTTGAAACTTGTGAATTATTTCATGTGTGCATTAGATATGACGTGTCAGTGGGTCACAAAATTGATCTGCATGATGAAAGAAATGAGGGTTCGATACAGAGTACCTTTCTTCTCTGCATTGTAACCCTCAGGGACTGTATTTGGCACATTAAATTAAGGTACTGATATCTTAAAATGGCCCTGATGGACCACAATACAGTGTTTCATATCAGACTTGTACTTGCTGTCTAAAAATTGACCCATGATAAACCTTTATAAAATTAGAGTAGTCTGTCTATTTAATATATTTCCATGTACCATTTCAACTTTCATTATTTCTTTCACACTGTAATCAGCTTCAAGGTCTAGAGGGTTAAGCTTGTTCCCTAAATCGTGAATCCTACAGGTGAAGTTGTGGCTCCTCCCCGAGGAAGAGTCTATAGAGAATGTGTCGGAGGCCGTGCTGTCTCTGCCTGCGTACGAGCGGCGTGTGGAGAACGTGTTGTGGAACCCGTGCGCTGACGGAGTCCTCGCTGTCACGACGGACAAAAGTGTCAAGATCTACGACATTTCTGGGTCCGGCGGATCAGAGATCTTCTGTAGGTTGATATGACGTGGTTGTGAATTGCTCTGTATTTGCGTAGTATTGTGTATTTATGTATGTATTTGTGTACATATTTATGTCTGTATGTATGTATTTATGATTATGTATGTTTGCCATTTGTATGTATACTTTGTCTTTGACTATAGCTTCTGGGTGTTTATACATTTATTGGTATATATTTATTTTGGACCCATTACTTGACCCTCAAAACATCATAGTTGGGTTTTGAACTTAAACCAATCAAATATCTGCTTTTCCAGCATTCTCTGATCACGGTGACCAGGTGCAAGGCGTGTCTTGGCATGGCGACGGAGGGTTGCTGGTCACGACGTGTAAGGACAAGAAGATACGCGTCATCGACCCTCGCTCTAACTCTGTGGTGCAGGTGAGAAGAACACAGTTGTCAGGTCGACCACACTTGTCTTGAAATCTCATAGAATGTTGTAAAACTGTAGGGGATGTTGGAAACTTTTTTTCTTTTGAATGGCACTTTTGCGCCTCAGTTTTGTAAGCTCCCAAGAACACATGAAAGACTTTGTGTGAAGTAAAAGTTAAGTTTTTGTATAAATTTCAGCTACATTTCCTTTGAACTTTTCATGACGTGAGAATAACAATGTTTTATCTGCTTTTTATAAATGTGTTCTGTACAACACTGTTAAGGGTTGGCTATCCTGCTACTAAAAAAATTGAATTTGAAATTTATGAAAGCCCCAAAACTTTATGAGAACTGCAAAACAGTGAGTCTTAATCCCATTTCTGTGGATCTCAAGTCTTCGCCATTGCATATATTTATCCAGAAATAGGACTTTCTTTTCTTGTGATATTTCAGGAGGGAGCCGGACATCCCAACGTGAAGGACTCCAGAGTCTTGTGGCTGGCCGGGAAAGAGTTTATATTGTCTACAGGTTTCAGCCAGGTAATCCATCACAATGGGTCAGTGAGATCTCAGTTATGAGAAAGGAAGTGGGTTAGAGGGGGGCAGGGGATAACAAATCGACAAATCTGTCTCCCAGTAGTGATTGCGATATCTTTTATGGTGGAGTAACTAATGTAAACATTCAAGTTTAAATAATGTATGCTTTGAATCTTTATGCTGGTGTGTCGTCATTGCTTTTGATCTGCGTCTTTCCATCTTCCGTCTGTAAAAAAATTATAACCGGTAGGCCAAGAACTCCTTATTTTAAAAAAGCCTATGTACTGTTGATTGGGTTTATTATCAGGAATGGTAGACACTTGAAACCAGTTGATTCCTTAAATTTGTTGGTACACTTTGCTTTTTTGATATTTTAGTATTTACATAAAAATAAGATGAAAGCGATTAGTGATGTTTTCATAGAAATATTTTTTTTCTTCTAAAAGTAAGGGCTCTATATTTTGTGTTTTTCCAGCATTTTCAGTAACAGTTACTTTATGTGTTCTGTCTCTTCTTCCATTCTCTTGATTGGCCTAAGATTTTAAGACGTTCTGGGAAATTTCCTTTCAGACAAGATCTCGGCAGTTTCGTATTTGGGATCCAAGAAATTTGTCATCTTCTCTAATGTCAACCGATATTGATACTTCAACAGGGTGAGTTTGCAGTTATTTATTCCTTTTTTTCGAAATATGAGACCAAATCTCTAACCAGATTGGTTTATGAGACTATTTTGAACCAGTGATGTTTTTGACTGGTAATCAATCCTAGACTGTTACTATATCATTAAAAATTACATTCATACAAAGGAAAAGATCTAGAGAGTTAAGCTGTATTTTTTTTCTCCTCTTAGTGCACAAATTTTGTCAGCTTCTTCAACACAAAGTATATCATGTATATGTAGCACAGAGTCACTACTAAAAAGTAAGTGTATGGTTTTTACATCCCTGTCAACACTTTTAGGTTTTTTGAGAGGTGGGACTTCCAAATTTAATGTCCATCTCCGATAAGACTGAGCCAGATAGGTTGACAGCCTTGAAAACTCCACAAAACGACCCGAGTTAAAGAACACCCAGACTGGGATTTGAGCCAGAGCCCATCTGCTCCGTAGTCCAGCATAATATCAACTGAGCTAACGGAGTGCTCCTAAGTCACTGCAAATTTATAAATGTACACAGTATAGCACACAAATGTTTGTGTATGCTTGTTTAAAATTTTGTTTTTTCTCTTCTCTCCCCAGCACCATCATGCCATTGTATGACGCAGACACGAACATGACATTCCTCATTGGCAAGGTACTGTTCATGAATGTTTTCTAGTTTTCTAGACTGTGAAATGTTAGTCTTATTATATATATATATATACTTCCCAGAAATCCTAATTGGTATTGAGTCTCATTTTACTGGCGTTTGTGGTATAATGGTTATGCTCTTCTTTATTGCATGCAAAAGAGATGAGTTAGATACATATGTGCCGTTATGCTGAGAAGTCTGTTTGGAGTGTCTCCATCTTTTTGCTGGTAAACTTAACCCGTTTTAGCTGCGGCTGGCCGTGAACAAGCATTATTGTAGCAGACGGATTCTCAAATGATCGAAATTGTGTTGATGGTGTGGTGGAATAATGTTAACTATTTCTGTAGAGAGAGTGGATGGATTGGGGGGTGGGGGGCTCATCTTTGTGTCTGTGGAGTGACACTCGCTGTTTGGTTCTTCAGCCGTGAGTGATGGAGAGGATGGGGGGAGTTGGTGCAGGGAAATATATTATTTTTTTGTCACATACTGTATATCACTGGGGTTATGATTTTTCTCTGTAATTACTGTCTGATAATTTTTTCTTATGTAGGATTAGAAAAGTATATCTTATATCAGTTTACTATATCTTCTTTTCCACTCTCTCAGCGACCGATCTGCATTCAGAAGGGTCAGTCCATGTAAATCTTGGATATGGGGCCCATTGTTAAAATTATCTATTTATGTCTGTCAGATGATAGGCAATTTCTTTTTCCTTTCCTCATTCTATCCTTTCTGTCGTGACCTTGTTATTTTGCTTCTTTATCCTTACACGTTTGCTGATGCACTGATTGGCCTGGTCATTTTTATTTTCCTCATATGGGTGGTTTGTGGGTGCTTCATAATTTTCAGTCTCCCCTTCTCTCCCAATCTTTTCTTTCACTCAGTGCTAATGTCATCATCCAACTCCTTATACACATTTTTTTCACAGGGTGACAACAGTCTCAATTTCTTGGAGTTCACCGAAAAGGACCCATACCTTTCATCTGGTGTGTAATATTTTTTGTTGTTGCTGTCTTTAAGAACGTCACATCATCTCTGGAAGAAAACTTTGTAACTCTGTTTGCTATTGCTTTACAGAATGAGTTATATACTTGGTGAAGTAATGATATTCCCTTTGTTTTTAGAGTTAAACTTTTAATAAAATTTGATGCCCCTCTAGACCCGAAACAATTAGATAAATATAAACGCATCATCGGGCTGAGAATAAATGTTGCCATAGGTGAAAATTTGAAACGAGATAGGATCCAGGCTTCTGAACTTGCTCATGCTGGTGAAATCCAGTTTCCACTTGATCCACAATTGTTTTTTGGGGAGGATTTTTTGTTGGTTCTTGTATTTTTTTTGTCCTTATCAAATTGCAATCTGAGTAGATTGTACGAAGACATTTCTTTCCAACCAATCCACAATTTTTTCAGCTATAATAAATAGCGATGTTAGAAGTTTATAGGCAAAATGTTTCTGTTACAGCCGGTGTCGACCGAACTGAACAGATCAAGGGAGCAGCTCTGGTGCCGAAGCGAGCCATGAATTTGATGGACGGAGAGGTCAACCGGGTGCTGCTGTTGTGCAAGAACTCGGTCATCCCAGCCCCGTACATTGTGCCTCGCAAGGTATCTGTGATACATAGCACTTGCTTTTTTATTTCCAATGTGATGGTGAATTTCTTCTCTGTGAGGTCCAATTCTTCACCTCCTCTTCTTCCTCCCTCCTTTTTCTTCCTCCCACTTCTCCTCTTCTTTCTCCTCCTCTTTCTCTTCTTTTTCCTTCTCCATCTTCTCCTCATCATCCTCCTCCTCTTCCTACTACACATTTTCCTCCTCCTGACATGGTATGTTTGTTTTTACAACTAAAGAGTTTGATGGGGAAGTTATGAAGGAGGTTGCCAGGGAGGTTATGAAAGAGTTTGTGAATGAGGAATGGAAAAATGAAGAGAAATGAGGCACAACTTCAAACTGTTTATCCAAGAAAAATTAATTCTTCAAAATTTAAAATGTATGAATTTTTTAAGTGGGGCCAATCTAGCGGGAATTCTTAAAAAGGAGGTAATATTTTATTACTCTACTCAATTCTTCATTGAACAAAGCTATAATAGAATGGAGTTGACAGTTTCAGTCAAATGCTACGTTGTTTTTACATTGATAGTTTCTCTTGGCCTGACACTTGTCTCTTCTTCACTTCTCCGCAGTCCTACAGAGACTTCCACTCCGACCTCTACCCAGACACCCGCGATGGACTGCCAGCACAGACCTCTGACCAGTGGGCTCAGGGACAAGCCGCACAGGTGAGAGACAGCACACTCAAGACACACAGGCACATGAATTTGCACATTAATAATATGTGTGCACTTGTATGCACATACACATGCGCATACATGTACATAAACGCCCCCATGTACACAAACACACATGTACATACATGTGTGCTCACACATATTCACATACGCTTGCACACACACATGCACAGGCATACATGGTATTTAATTTGCTGTGTTTTCTCTGCAGTCTTTCAATGTTTTTGGTCAATAAATTTGAAAAAGCAGGAAACTTTTGATTTTACCATGTCTCATAGGTGGTGCAACTATTGTTTTTGTTTGTTCCAGCCAAACTTTATCAAACTGGAACCTTGCAAGCATCTGGTCCACCGAGATCGGCGCGGAGCCCTGCTGAAGGGCAGTAACTCTGGCACAGCTGTGAGCAGTTCCGCTGTGAAACCTCAAGCCACAGAGAGTGCACGTAATGATTCTGTGACGCAGCCGAGTAAGGTGAGGAAAGTGTTTTGGCTTATGTTCGGCTGATGGGTTTGTGTCGATCGAATGAGGTATGTCTCTGACAATTGTATGTGTTTCACATGCTTTTCGCAGTGTAAGTTGTTTTTTAAAAATTCTTCCCCTTTCTGACTGTGAGTACCTGTCAGTCATGCCTGGATGTGCTCATTTACATGAAAATTTCTCTTATTCTCTCTCCTTTGAAAGATCTAGCACAATTGTCTATCTATGGCACTCTACAAGCATCCTTGCCTTATATGACAGAGCCATGACCTATTCAAGCTCAAGGGCACCCCACTGGAGATTTGAAACAGTTCCAATCACATTATTGTCCAGCATGTTAACCAACTCAGTTCACAGTGAATAGAATTTTTTTTCACGACCTCTTTACAAGGTTAGGGAATCCAGGTAACTTGGAGAAAGCTTTGATGTTTATATTTAGAGAGGTAGGGTGAGAGAGTCACGAAGCATCTCCATTTGAGTTTACTATTTCTTTTTTACTCTAGTTTTCTCATCTGTGTCTCTTCTGGTTCTAGCCACCTCCTGCTGTGAGCAGTCCCCCACCAGCCCCTGAACAGCCCAGCAACACCAGCCAAAGTAACTCATCTCCCAGCCCCAAACCCCAGCCTCAGAAGCCCCAGCAACAGCCAAAACAAGAACCAATCCCAGCCAAACCAGAAAAACCAGCTGAAAAGCCAGCTCTGCCTCCCAAGAAACCGGCCAAACCTTTTGCAGGTAAACTTTAGATGAGGGTAATAATAAAACTTGCACAGATTTTGGGTCCCTCTGATTTAGACTGTAAATCTTTTACATCCTCATTGACACTGTTTAGATCATGTAAGACTCGGGCTGCTCCCAGGGTCAACTCGGGGTGCGTGGGATATTAAACCCTAGCAAAAAGAAAGAGAAATTTAATTAAATACCATAACAATGATATGGGAATTGAACTTGCATCATTTTGATTACTAAGGCTCAGAGCCTAGCCATCACACCACAGGAGTTAGTATTACCCTTCTTGGGGTCAAAATAATGATATGTAGATAGACATTCCTTTTAGTTAAGTTCTTATTTCAATCTTGCCCCCCTTCTTTCATTTTGAATGGAATAGTACAAGTTTTAGATTTGTAGATCTAGACTGTGAGACTAGTTTACTTCAGATAGTTTTACATCAAATGTACCTTAGCTCAGGTCACCCATTTAAAAATTCTACATAGGTCCCGCAGACAGTGGATAGGGAGAACTAGTTTTCTTTTCCTAGGTGTAGATTATAATAGAGACTCCACTGAATAGTTTGTATAAAGCTCCAGTATCAAAGTATAACAACGTCAAACAAATTTTCCTGACACCAATATTTACTCTGTTTTCAACATTTAAGGAAAAAGGACGTTTTGACCAAAGCACAATAATTCGAGCATACAGCAAACCGCCCCCCCCCCCCCAACCAAATGGACTATCCTTTTGGATTTTATTGCATTCAGAAATATACAAGAATTGAACGACAGTGTTTTTCAGAATATGTCAAATATCTGGTGTCTGGTCTCGGAGGTTTCATTTCTAAACTGGAGCCGCTCTTTAGTGAGTTAGAGTGGACTCCCCTGAATGTAACTTTTTAAAAATTAAAGTCGTAATTAATTTTGATGGCTTACATCTGGAATGACAGTTCCCATTGTTGATAAATCAATGATATGTGAAGCGTGCTGATAAAATGAGTTTTTTCTCAGATTCAAGCCTTAAGGAAATAGATACATCAGGCTTATAGGTGAAGTTTTTACAATTTATAAGTATGAAATAATAAAAGACAGCTCGTATTTAAAGAATATGGCATCAATAGAAAATCTACAACTTTGACCCTAGTTTTGATTTTTTGTTAATTTCTCAATTTGTGGATTGCGAGAAGCAACTCAATTTGTCAGCACGCCTTGCATGTATTAGGAAAGAATTATGGCATAATGACTCCCGTCTTCAATCTCCTGCCCCTGTCTCCTCTCCCGTCCCCTCCCAACCAGGCGTGCGACAGTCCAAGTTCCGTCACATTCAAGGCCATCAGCAACACGCCAGCGGCTCCATCACCAACGTTCGCAGCGTGTGCAAGACGGTGCCGGGGGAGAGCGACATGTTTGCCGCCAACGTCAAGAGGTGTGCGGTGCCTGTTGATGGGGCAGGAGGCTGTTTGTATGTCTTTGAGGTAAGGGTTGGAATGTGTGTGAGACGGGGTTGTATGTATGTCTTTGAGGTGAGGGTTGGGATGTGTGTGAGATGAGGCAGTATGTATGTCTTTGAGGTAAGGGTTGGGATATGTGTGAGACGGGGTTGTATGTATGTCTTTGAGGTAAGGGTTGGGATGTGTGGGAGACGGGGTTGTTTGTATGTCTTTGAGGTAAGGGCTGGAATGTGTGGGAGATGGGGTTGTATGTATGTCTTTGAGGTAAGGGTTGGGATGTGTGAGAAGGCTAAAAATGGGTGTCTCAGAGTGTCGGAAAAGACAGGTGAAAAAAGGGAAGAAAAAGGAAAAAAGTGATGTGGTATGGGTTCGACTGAAGAGAGAAAGGGGATTGCTCCCATAGACGAGGGTATTTCTCTACATTTGTGTTGACACTTTTCTGACCACTCGGCCGGGCCCTGCCTGGTCGGATAGAGAAAGAAAGTCAGAATGGTCAATACAAACATATTGAATCAAATCAATAAGAATAAACTTTGATCTCTGATACAGAAGTGAAAAAAATATGTGAGGCAGCGTGGTGGAATCAGGCTCTCGTCAATTTTTGGGCATGTAGAGTTATTGGTTTCATTATAAAGTTTGTTCACTTGTCTTTATTTGGATGAAAAAATGTCCATTTATCTTGAATGCAAGTCGAGATATTTGCGAAAGAAGGAGGCGGGGGTCACCTGTTTTCAGAGGTAAAATTAGTGAGAAAATGGTCGCTAAAGAGTAGTTATTTCCTTAGCTTAAGAGTCTGTGGTAACTGAAAATTTTCATTTTTTGCACCTTTAATCAACGTTTTTCAGAAAAATCCATACAGAAATGAGTTCTTTAATGGGCATGAAAGGTGTTGAGCTAAAAAAAAAAATTTGATTAAAATTCACAATCCTGTGGAAAAATGCAAGTTTCTTCACTTATATTATTATGACGAGAGCCTGATTTCACCACGCTGCCTCACATATGTATCTCCGTTCGAGTTGTACCATAGATTGCTGGTCTGACCTTTTCCCTGTTCTCTCTGGCTTCCTCTCTCATAGATACATTTGCAAAGAGTTCAACAATTCTTGCGGATGGTTTGCGGGTGCTGTGGTGTGGTTTGCTCCTTCTTTCCTATCAACCATCTGTCCTTCTGATCTCTTCTTCTTTTTTGTCTTTGTAACTCTCTTGTAAACCTCTAAACTTTGGCACTTACATGAAATATTTGTGTTTCAAGTGCCGTAAAAGTCTGTCTAAAACTCTCTCTTATCATATCCATTTTCAGTGGACTAAAAAATCTTTTATTTTCCTCCAATCCAAACATCCAGTTGTCTGAAGGAGCCCGCCAACCTGACACAGGTGTTCCTGTGATACAAAACGGTAGCAAAGTGACCGACTGTGCCTGGGATCCCTTTGATGACAGCCGTTTGGTTGTTGGTGAGATATTGTTAGGACATTATAGGATGAGATAAGACATACTTAATTCCCCCTTAGTGGGGAGACATTAACTGTATGTTTTTATCAGCTTTTCTGACATAAGATATTATTGACATGATGGCATTGTGCCGCCTGCAGTGATGCCTATTCTCCAACCAAGTAACCAAGTAAGCATCATGTCTGTTGCTGGATCGATAACAATGACAACATAGCATCATATCAGCACAGTCGCATGAAGCAAACTCATGCTTGTGCAAAGACAGTTGAACATGCACTCCAACTTTCATCCAAAATCACGCAGCCTCTCTCCCTCTCTCTCCCTTCTTCTTTTTCCTAAGTCCAACTACTCATTTTGACAGGGTCTTAGTGGGATATGAACTTAAAGACTAGAGGTCTTGCTTGTTAAATAGTTGCACAGTATGTCTGTCTTGCCTTTTCTAGCACTATATGACTTTAAATGTATCAGTGTGTATCTCTTGACTGATACAACTCTTGCCTTCTTGCTTTGTCTCCATACTTTATGATAGTTATTATGAAGAATTATGTAGGAGGCCTATACACCTGTACCACAACCCTTTTATCACCTCATTCTTACAGTTCTGGACAATGCGAAAATCAACGTGTGGAGAATCCCTGACGGAGGCCTCACAGAGTCGACTGACGAGCCGGAGTTTTCCTTGAGAGGTGAGACACTGATTGCAGTTAGGAAATAAGACGTTAGTGGGCCATTCCATAAAAAGTAAAACTGCAGTGACATACATACCTAAGGCAAAGGATTTGGGGGTGTGGGGGGGAGGGGGGGGGGATGACCAACAGAAAAAGAATTCTAAGCAGTAATATGTGAGATGTGCTGACAAAATGAGTTACTTCTCGCAATCCACTAATGGAGACATTGGCCAAAAATCGACATTATGGTCAAATTTGTAGATTTCCTATTAATGCCATATTTTTTCACTATAACCTGTCTTTTATTACTTTATACTTATAAATTGTAAAAACTTCACCTATTCTATTTCCATGTGGCTCAAATCCGAGAAGTAACTCAATTTGTTAGCTCGCGTCACATGTAGCTATTATTCACTATTTTTGTTAGAGTTAACCTTCCTCTTTCATAAACTAATAAAGAATGGCTCTCTCACTGCTTAGAAATTTTTTCAGCAAGTCATCATCCCTGCATTACATGTGTCGCTGCATATTTGTTTTTCATGGAATGGCTCCACTTGGGGACATGTTAATTCCCAATAGATATGATATTTATAGACTTCCACTCACTGTGGCATGGCGTAATGCTGAGGGAAGTGAGAAGGAAGGACTGCTGGGTTACAACAAGGACATAGTTTAACATTTATGATATTTGTTAGATCGGACCATTGATAGCGCTTTCTTGGTCATGTTCGGAGATGGTAGGTTGATGTTCTACTCTTGCCCCTTGTAGTCAGCAGTAGTAATACCCTCTTCTGTCCCAGGGGACATTGGTAGGTGTGGTCCTAGTTCATCATAAATACATCCTAGCTGTGTCTTCCCACTTATTTGAACATACCATAATGGTCCAATGAGAGATGAGTGTTAAATTCGGAGATAACTTAATAATAGAGTGCTGCTGGGGTCGTTAAACCCATGCACTTATATCTTTTGTACTTCCCCTCCTCAGGTCACATGGAAAAGATTTACTTCGTCAAGTTTCACCCTCTGGCCTCAGACCTCATCATCACAGCGGCGTACGACATGACGTTACGGATGTGGGACCTCAAGGAACAGAAGGAAGTGATGCTCATAGAGGGGCACGATGACCAGGTACTTTCTGGGACTCACTGAAGTCTTAAAAAATGTTTTTGAAGGGTGGGGTGGGGGAGGGAAGAGGAGGAATTATTTTAAAAAATTGAAAAAAGTGTGGATTGTGGAACAGTTGAACCTGCTCAGCCACCTGTCCAAAACAATCACCTGTACAAACAACCTCTTCCCCCTAACCAACTTTCGTTTTTTCTGTTTTATAATGACATTGTCCAAGACGTCTGATTGTGTTGCAAGTGCCATAAAACTCTTACTAAATTTATTGTTATTTTATTTGTACCTTGCAGGTGTTCTGTCTGGACTGGAGCAGTGATGGCAAACAGTTTGCCACGGTCTCGAAAGACGGCAAAGTGCGGGTGTTTGAACCCCGTAAGAGTACTTCAGCCCTCAGGGTAAGCAACTGATATATTATTGTCAGCAAGTTGTTCAAGTGTCCTAAGCCCAGAGTGCAAAGTTTTTACAGGAGAGAGAGACAGTTGTTTCATTCTTTCAACAATTGTAGCTGTATTATGTATCTTTCGCTCTTTTGTACGTTTAAAAATTGAATTTCAACAAGATATTTCTGAGCACATGTAGTTGTTATAACAAATTAAGAAACTATAAAAAGAAAAAGAATTGGGGCTTAGTACATCTGACCAGCTGGTCTATGATCTGTCAGCTGTGGTGTCAGTAGACTCAATGTATCGGGGACAGCAGGGTATAGGAGGAGGGAAGGCAGAGGGGGGCAGTCATTGGGCGGTTAATTAGAGCAAAGACAGTCATGAAAATAAAGAGAGATTGCAATAGAGTCTTATTTCTGGAGGGAGGGAAATACTGCATGGGCAATCTGCTTCTTCTATGTTTACTTACAAGTCAAAGCGGTATTGTGCATACTGCTTTAGTCATCGTGGATTTCGATGGACAGCTGAAAAAAAAAGAATAAGCTAGGCTGCTATTAGTACTTGGTAAAAATATGAGCAATAACAACAATTTATTATGTTATTGGAACATTTACTCCGCTCCGAATAGTTTTAAATGCTACTTTTTTTAAAAGTGAAAAGAATCTTGCCTGCTTGTTTGTGTGTGAGAGGATGAGGGATGGACTGACAGTTAAAGAGAAAGTGACAGAGAGAGAGAGAGTTAGAGAGAGAAAGAAAGAGAGAGACAGAGGCAGAGAAAGGTAGAAGAGCATCAGTATGGTACTACCCTGCTTGGGCAAAACTTTATGTCAAATGATTACATAGTTGTTTATTTCATCACTCACTTCAACATAAAGATTTGTATTTTGCTGTTATGGCGTTCTGTTTCATCATCTTAACAAAAAAATCTGTTTCTTGCAGGAGGGTCCCGGCCCTGTTGGTAGTCGAGGTGCGAGAATCGTGTGGGCTTTGAATGACAAGTTCCTTGTGGTCACTGGCTTTGACAGGTATCACTGCTTTCTTGTGGTCTTCCATCTTTTGTCTTTTCATGAGATGTTGTGAAAAGAAGTTGAATTATTTAGTATTCCTCTGTTCAAACATGCAACTTTCTTATGGTGATGACTAAGTGTTCTGGTTGGTTGATGGGTACTCTGGTATTCTGACGGAAGGTTGGAGGGTGCAACTTGTAGATTCCACTTCTTTTCTTTCTGTCTCTCCTGCACTTAACGGTTGCGATTGTGCCAATGTGCTTCTCTTTACTCGGACTCAAACTCTGTTGTTCTCAGTTCCTGCTTTGTCTTTTCAATATTAATGTCATTATCTCCTAATGCAGAACCGCGCGCCGTAAAACCTCTACAAAAAAAAGAAAAAGGCAATATCTTATAGTCATGAAATGTGGACATTTTTATTCTAACTAGATCTAGTCTTTAGCTATAATTTGAGCGAAATACGTTCATGTTGGAGAGCTATTCTAAAATATTTCTATCTACATTAGAGGCCTACATTATCAGCATCACTCCACGGTAGCCCAAATCAGTTTCTGGGGTCATCATACACATACAATGTAGTTTCATTTTGCATCATCATGTCCTTTGTTTTTTTAAAGTAAAAAAATAATGAGTGCCCATACATTGGTTCTGATTTGGGTGCTTTTTTTTCTTTAATTTTCTCAAAACTTAAAAAAAAAAGACTCACATACTTGTGGAATGAGGCTTACGATATGAAATGAATTTTTTTCACCTATGGTTTTGGGAAAAAAATGTTCTTTGAATTTCACGCATTCTACTATTCATCCTTTTACCTTTGTCACCTTTCACAATGCCCCCCCCTCCCCACTTCCCTGCCACCCTCAGATAAGCAGGAACTTGAAGTAGCTTTGGTGTGTTGAAGTCCAGTCAGAGGTCTTGCTTCTTAAATTATAATCCTCCAGTATTGAAAGGGGCTTATAACTGTACTGTGCTGTTGTTCAGCTTAGACAAAAACTTCAGGGTATTTTTTTTTGGTAACTCCACTCATGTATTCTGTCCCCCTCAGAACTTCACTGCAGCAGGTCTACATCTACCGGGCGTCGGAGCTCAAAGTTCTGCACTCTGTGGACGTGAACGTCTCCCCAGCCATCCTGATGCCGTTCTACGACAGAGACAGCTCCGTCGTCTTCCTGACGTGTCGGGTGAGTGCTACAGACAGGTCCCTCTGCTTTACTCACTCCTCTTTCTGGGTTTCATTTTTTTTTTTAAATTGCGAGCGCCGTAAAACCTTACCAAAACTAAACCACTACTAATAAAAAGATAAGGTGACATTGCCTTGTATGTGATGTAGCATTCTGAGTCAATCTCAAATATCTGGGAAGCATACAGTGCAAGCTGCCATTTATAGGCGCTAAAACACTAACATATTTCCAAGATTCTGCCCGAAAAGAGATAGGATAATAATAATAATAGATAACAGATAGCATTTGTATAGTGCAAATCCCTGCTCGGCAGCAAGTGCTATGCGCTTTACTATCTATACTGTTACCTCAGCAGACATGATAGCATTCTGAAACAATCTCAACTCCTGGGAAGCATACTGTGCAATCATACTGACAAAGTCTTTCACTTGACAGAGGTGGAGACAATAGCACAGTATGGAAGTCTATAGAGAGCTTTTGTTGGTGACCTTTACTCTAGTAGGCCTACTGCGTGAGAAAGTCTGGTGGGTCAAAAGACCAGGACAGAAGTACATGGAGAGCTTTTATTGGTGGCTTATACTCTGGTACGTGTGAGAAAGACCGATGGGTGATATTCCTTAACTTGACTGTCAAGACAGTTTCTGGGTGTTGTCCGTCCACTGCAGGATCCAGCCCTTCCCACAATTACTTCCATTCTGTTCCATCAGCTGTTTCTCCATATCCAGGTCTTTCCGGTCTGCTCTCTGATGTCATCTTGCTACCTTTTTAAATTCTGTCTTCTTCTTGATCCTGTTCATTTTCCTGTATCCGTTCGGTTCATCTTTTTATGCATCATCTTCATACAGGACATTATATTCCCTAATTTATTGCATGTTGTTTCTCTTGCGGGTGAGTGAAGGGAGCCACTGGTAAGTCCTACTTCTTTACACTTTCCCCCCCACTGCTTCTGTCTGTCTGTGCTACTTTTCCCCAACACTATATCGCGACCTCAGTGCTTTCTTGTCGTATATCCATTTTTAATAACTGTGAAAACAGTTCATAACAAAAAGTGAGCTTAAGAAGAAGTCTCATTTTCACTATTTAAAAAAATAGAGATACAACAAGAAAGCTCTGAGGTCACGATATGACCATTATTGTGTTGATGTGCATCTCGATCTTTACTCATACAAAAGCATTATAATATTGTCTCTCTCCTCGTCAGGGTGACAGAATGATCTACACACTGGAAGTGGCGGAGGATGCGCCGCACCTGTTTGAGTGCGCACCCTTCAAGTTTGACTCGCTGCACCAAAGCGCGTCGTACCTGCCCAAGTACACGTGTGACGTGCGTAAGGTGGAGGTGATGCGTGGCTGGAGGCTCACCTCAAACAGTGTGGACGGCTTCACCTTCACCGTGCCCCGTGTTAAGGTACTTGTTAAATGGGGTGGTTTTTTTTGGGGGGGGGGGGTTTGTCAGCAAATCACAACTCTTGGGTGAGCCTTTAATTATTGTTCTTTGTATAATATTTGGATTTATGTAAAGCACCTAGAGTTGTGTGCACATGAGAGAATTCTCTGCAAAGATAGTTACAATATTATTATTATTATTGTTGTTATTATTATTATTATCTTTATTTATATATCATTATCATTATTATTATTATTATTATTAGCTCAGTTGATGTCATAATGATTATAGTATTAGTTCGTCCATCAATGTTCAATGATGACCATTGCGTCGACAGAGGAGAATATTTCTCAATGAAAAAGAAATAAGACAGGTTAAGATGATTTGTGTTGTAAGGGGCAATGTGGTTGGTTGATGGGTACCCTAGTGTGGTTTGCTCCTTTCTAATCAAACATCTGCCATACTTATCTCTCCTCCTTCTTTTCTTTGTATGATACTCTCTAGTAATACCTCTAATCTTTTGCATTTATATGACCTATCTGTGTTGCAAGTGCTGTGAAACTATTTCTAAAACTAAACAGACACCATTGATGTGTCTTGCTCCTTCTATACTGTAGTATAGTCTAGAACTCTTTAAGTTACTACAAACTAAAGAAAAAAAAGTGAACATTTTTACTACAGTGTAAATCTGCTGAGGTTGCATGAAATAGTAAAGACCCCTTTCTCGCTCTTGTCTCCTAGATGGAGTACTTCCAAGACGACCTGTTTCCCAACACTGATGTCACATGGGAGCCAACCATAACGGCAGCAGACTGGCTGGCAGGGAAAGACAAACGACAAAAAACTAAGAGCCTGAGGCCGAGCGACATGAAGCCTTGTAAGTGATGAGTTCACTTGTCTTTGTCAGCGTTTGTCTGGAAGTAAGATAACATAATTACATTATGTTTCACACTGCCCCCTTCCTCACATCCCAGTTCCCTTTCCGTCATCCATCCCCTTCATCACATCCACTCTTCCATTTGATAATCTGCTCCCCCCCTCCACATCTCCCCATCCATGTCTCTCCTCCACCCCCCCCCCCCCCCATGTCTCTCCTAAACGACTTGTCCCCCCTGGTCTCCCATCCCCCACACTGTCTACCAGCACTCCCCTGAAACTTGTAAACAGAAGGAAAAAAAAGGGAAGTGTTTTATCACTCGTAGGAAAGTTATTACTTCACATTACTTTTACCTTTTCACCCTCTGTTGCTGTTAAGCATTGAGGAGAGATGCAGTTTTCAATGGTAGGCCAGCTTTGCGGCACTTTTAATTGGAATATTTTTTATTTCTCAATGAAAGCTGATTAATTTCCTTGAACCATGAGGCAATATATCATCACCATAGCTCTCTTGGAAGTCAAGTTCATGTCAATTTCTTTTCCATGGTGTTCAGGAACATTTCATCCTGTTCAGTGTTTGGTGCAAACTGGTTCAGATATTCTCCCTTCCTATTGCCAAATTACTGTTTTCAGCACGTTGAGGTTTGGTAACTGCCATTAAAATTATGCCTTTCCTGAGTTGTTTTGCTCTATGATGTAGGATTTTGAACTCACAAAAACCATGGAGTACAACTCCAAAGTCTAGCAGCTAAACTAGGACTCCACCTAGTTTCTCTTGTCATTCAGACTTTTTACTAACACAGAGGCTGCCATGTTGTCTGATCTGTTTCAGTAAGTGAAGCCCCTGTAGAAGCCCCAAAAGCAAAGAAATTTGAGAGCTACAACGCAGAGACTTACAAGACAGATGAACAGAGAAAGGAAGAGGTATGTTATTGTTTGAAAATGTTTTTTTTTGTCTCCATGGACACATAAATTAGGAAGGCTTTTTTCAGTGTGTTTGTCAAGGCCAGCTGTGTTTTCCTTCCAGTTTATTACTAGTCTAGCACATTTAGAGCAAACATGTACATAGTGAACAGATTTTCAGGTACATCTTTTTTTCTTCAATATGTATTTCCATTGTTTAAAACATGTACGTAGCAAAATCCATACATAACAAAAAGGTTTCCTCATCCCACCGATTTTGATGTGTGCATGCTAGACTGTAGTGTATTTTCATTCTGCAGGACGTGCAACTTTGTCCTTCGTTAAGTGTGTATAGATCTAGCTGTCAATGAATATATTGATGTACGTATTTGCCACTAACTGGACCAAGGTAAAAAGGGTCATTTGAGCAAATAGTAAACATCCTTTTCTAAGGATATTAAATCTGTCCGATGGACCTGGGAACTGAACTCGCAACCTATTTCTTTAGTTGCAAGTCTTACTCTTACAACTTTCAGCTTGACTGGGACTAGTAGGTCCTACTTCTTTTCTTACTCTGTTGTTGCTCCTCTCTTACTTTTTCCCTGCTCTAAATGACCGTTAATGTATGCATGTCATCAGCCTTTCTCACCCCATGCTGGAGTATAGGTCATCAACAAGAGCTTCCGTCTGCTTCTGTCATGGGCCGTAGTCTTTACCTCTCCTCTGTCCAGCGGTATCACATCTCTTGTAGGTTGGAATTTCAAGTCCCTCCTCTTAGTACCTTTTGTCCTTCCTTTCTTTCTCTTTTCTTGTGAATTCAGTCTTAAGGCTTGGTAGGTAATATAATTTGTTGATATGCTTCTCTTCAAATTTAATATAACAAAATAAACAAAACCTCGACCTAGATAGCCCCCCCAAGTAAACACAACTTTGTGCTCTCATTTCAGCTTGTGAGTGCCATGGCCGGCAAACTGGAGATGTCCGACGCCCCCCTGCCCCAGGACCTGGCTGAGGGAGTGGACGATGATGAATGGGTAGGTCATGACTTAATAATTTCTTGACGCTTCTCAAAGTGGGTGGTCGATGGGCGCTCTAGTGTGGTTTGCTCCTTCTTTCCTATCAGACATCTATTTAGTCATCCTTATTTCTCCTCCTTCCTTTCTTTGTATGTTACTTTCTAGTAGTAGCGCCTTTTATCTGCGGCCGGCACTTGAACTTATATATATGACCTTTTTATAATGCGAGTGCCATAAAACTCTTGCTAAAACTGAAACTAAGCTTCTCGATTGTTTATCTCAGTTTTGCGTAGTGAAGCAGACATTTATTCAACTAGTCTGTAGGCGTGTAAGTTTGGTTCTGGTCAGAAAGCAGGACTGTGCAGTGTGTTATACCTTTTTCTTTCTGTTTCCCCTCAGGATGATTAACGTAGAACAGCTGTGAGTAGATACATCCAGGCAGAGGAGGAGGAGAGGGCAAAGTCCTGGAGGAGGAAGAGGAGGAGGAGAGGGCAAAGTCCTGGAGGAGGAGGAGGAGGAGGGGAGGGCAGCAGTCCACCCACATTCCACGGCTGCTTGGGGAAAAGTTTGGATGTGTTTTTGCTTGTCTTTGAGAGTGAATGGGGCTGTTGATAAAAATGAATACTGGGTAAACTCTTTACCTCTTTTTTTGCTCAGTTTTATATCATGTCACCAGTGGTGTCAGGTGCAAACAAGCCTAGCCTGAGATGAAAAGAGAATGTTTGGTTTTTAAAAATATATATATCAAATGATGGAACCTCATGCCTTACATCATGTGTCAACGCACGTTTACTCTGTGAAAGTAAGTTAAAAGAAAAGCTGTTTATGAGCTTCTCCATTTCGCAGGTAATAGAAGAGTGCTGCTGGTAGGTGCTGCTTATTTTGATATTTCTCTGTTTTACCTGTCTGCTCATCTTTCTTGTTCCCAGCAATAAATGACCATTATTACATTGATGTGATGCTCATTTTCTCAAACCAAACTTGATATCTCCGATTCTGTTCATTAATGAATGAAACTGAAATTTAATTGATGTTTTTTTCCTGTCTGCAATGAAATAAGTTTGTCCAGAGTTTTCCGCTTTGCGATCAATATCTTTGATACTGGTATCTTATAGTGTGTGCTAATATCCACATCACTCTATCAATGACAATTTTTGATAACTGCGACATGCCTCAAATACTCTTTACTCCCATGCTTGGAAAGAGTATGACAATCTGACATTTTGTCCTCTCTGAAATATGAGAAAAAAAACAACTGTCATAATTTCCGTGTCAGAATGGTACATATGTTTTCGTTGGTGCACACAAGTGTATGGGGGATACCTGGGAGGTCTTTCTGCTTCTACAGGGATGGTTTGGGTTTATTTTTTCTTGTTTTCTTCTTTTAATTCATTTAGCGGTCTCAAAGTTTTTGTGTAAACTTTTCTACTCAAGATCCACAAAACCTAAAAGATGGAGACAATCACGTCAAACAGTCCCACATGTAACGGGATTCTCCTTGTAGCAAAGGAAAACTATTGTTCTACTTATTTTAAAAAACAGTAATTTTCTACCATATTTAATTGTAGGACGAATAATAAGCTGTAAATTGCTAGGAGCCTTCACTTGACTGTGAATATAATGCGCTTTGTAAATGCAATATATTGTTTAGTAGTAGTATTATTTCTAACCATCTGATGGTTATTGTTTCTGTTGAAATTTTATTAATTATGTCTTGTCCAGGTCATAGTATAGTGATATGATTGCGGTTACAGAAATGATCTGTCTGGTCCTTGTTGGGATGAGGGAGAGAAAAATATGGTCTCGTAAATGCTCCGTCTGGAACTGGAAGGAACGAGAGGAAAATTTGTACACTGTGAACTGGCTGTTCGTGTCTTTAGCAGATCTCAGTTTTGCGTACGGGGGGATTGGTGAGGTTTTCTGTCTTGTCTTGTGCATTGTCAGAGAGTTTTCTTGTTCTTTGTTTTTGTATTAATTTGCATAATGATGTGCAATGAAGATCTACTGGTGCAAAAGTTTGTGCTGCAAATAATGAGCTAGAGAAAAGATTTTCTGTCGACTTGTACGTGTGTGAATGCCTCGTTTTTGTGGTCATTGTATGAGGCAGGTGAGGTAGTGGTAGGAGTCTTCTTGTCCATATGTCATGGCTGTGGTATAACATTTAACCCTATCCGTACGCCTTGGGGTCATTTTGTGCCCTCACGGTAAATTCTTCACATTTTAGAATACTTCTAGTTCGAATATCTCTTTGAAACTTTCAGTATTTCACAAAAAATCGTTTTGACAGACTGCTATGCAAAGCATACAGATCAGAGTAATTTCCTCTTTGGAAAGTGGTGGCATGGAGTTCCCCATGTCGTATGGATACGATAGTAAAACATAATTGTATGTCTGTCATTGGCTGTCTTTTAAAATTTTAGGTTAAGATATTATCAGAATAGAAAAATCATTAAAAATTCCCCCAAAACAGTACGTCTTCAACCGTTGTTGATTTTTTAAATACTTGGTAAAAATTGCAGTTTTCAATGCACTAAAGAGAAACTTCTAGATTAAAACATCTTGGATGATTGATCTATGATAATTAATAAATCAAGTGTCACTGGTTTTCAGACTTTTATGGGGTTTGCCATGTCTGATAAACGTGTACATGTGTAATAAGCCAGCTTCAACTATTATTTTATACTAACTCAAATGCCTGGCTTTTGACATAATATCTTAGTTAAGACTTCTTCCCATCAATGATACCAAATAGTATAGTATTAAAGGCTCTGTACTATAATTGATAGGATGATTGTTTAGATATTTACTTTTCAGTGCTCATGATGTATTTCCTCGTTTATTTTACTACCTGGCCAAACTTCCTGTCTTACTAATGGTCTAAATTGTGTCGACAGGTGGGTAAAACTATTATAATCACTGGACAGAACTTCAAACTTACAAACAATGGAGGCCCGTATTTCAAGAAGATTATCATTTTAAAAAACCCAACATTTGAAGGACGTAGTCTTAACCAAGTTAGTCGTTGCACTGGACAACATAAAGTACATACAATGATATAGCACCAGGTACAAGAGTTGAGGTAGGTCTATATACTCTACATATTACTTTGGAACAACGCTGCTATGCTCCTACTCATACCAATGTTTTTATACTAAAAACTATACTTTCCATTTATCGATTATTATACATTGGTTTTATACACTTGCCTTTGTACTGCGATATATACCATTTTGGTTGTATTTTTCCGCTTCATCATTGTCATAATATATTTCATCTATGTATTGTCATGCTTGTCATTACTCTTGGAAAAATTTTGAATAATTTCATATGACCTTGCTTTTATATGGTGAGTTTTAGAAAACGGAGATCATAATTTTTCTGGTGATAGTGATTTTATTCAGATTTTTTTTTGTGGGTCATTTTCTCACAAATTGTTGAAACAACATTCATGAATGATTTACTTCTTTCCGACAGGAAGGCTATGGTCTTTGCTTGGATTGATATGATCTCTCTGTTTACTGGTAGGCCTAACATATTGTTAACTTGTTTTGATATTCACCTAAATTACTCTTACTTGGGCCAAACCAAACTGGCTATTCTATATGCTGGCCTACCACCACATTCTGAATTGATGTAAATGTGCCATCAGATTTTAAATCTAGAAAAGAGAAATTGTCATGATCTTTTAATTCAGGAAAAAAACATAACACATGTGTTTGGAAACCTTTAAAAGACTGGACTGAAATTGTTTGCTGCTGTGCCTAATTTAGTTTGTTATTGTTGCTCTCTGACAACATACTCATCACTCTCTGCTCTCCTTTTTATTTTTCCTCCTTTACTCTGACCCTCCTTCGCTTTTGTACATTGTACATTGTCGCAAATTGCACTTTTTAAGTGGTTTGTGACTGACTTATAATTTCCTTGCTACCCTGTGATTCCCTCTCTCCATATATCTGTCCCCGTGGTTTTATGCCCAAAAAAATTCTGAAATTATGCAAACTGAGCCCGAAAATGTGAAATTATGCGATTCTGTTAATTTTAACAGAGAATGATAAAGGGAAAATAATCAGAAATTATGCAAAAAATGATCAAATTTTGCTAAATTATGCGGGGTGCATAAAATCTCGGGGACAGATATATTATTTTATTCCTCATGCTTATTTCCAGTTTGTTTTGTCCTCAAATGTTTGGTGTATGTTGGTTAGAACTGCTGTTCTTTTGGCCGCTATGCAAACATTCCGGATGATTCCCCTTGATTTTGTTGGATTGTAACAAGATTTTTTTTCTTCTACGTCTATGTGCAATTCAAAGATTTAAGTGCACTCTAGGAGTTTCTTAAAATTTTTAGTGATGTTTTAGAAGTATTTTTAATCCCATTTTGAAAAAGCCCTTCTGTACTGTGTTCTTTTTAACTTATTCTTAATCTTATTATGTATCATTGGAACACGATAAAAGAAATGCTACAAGTCATTTTCAGAAAAGGTTCCTTCTGTTCTACCTGCATTATATAGTACATTTATGTACATTTATTTAAACAATATCCCTGAAAATACACATCATATGTCTTGTTAATAGTACCGGTATTAATACCGTACACATTTTTAAACAAGTTGAAGAAATCCAAGTTTCTTACGATGATACTAGTAATAAATAGCATAAAAGGAAATAAGATCTAGATCCAGTGGGATCTCTAGATCTGCGGTAATAATGAGCTGTTGGAATTTAAGAGCAAATTGTTCATGCTCTGCTTCATTATTGTAATAATATATGAAGCTTCCTTCAACAAAGTAGCCCTCCAGGAGAAGTTTTTAATTAATATTTTCAACTTGCTATCCTCATAATATCAGTAGAGACATGTTTTACTGTCCAGCTTTTGGAATTATTTTTGATAGCACATTATATACACTTCTATGCATACAACTGATTTCATAAAAGTATAATTTGTAGCATGAAGTATATTTTTTTATCAAAAGGAGGTGACTTTTTTTTTCACTGGTGTTCAGTGTATTTTCCAATATCAATGTATAGGTTATCATAATAATGGTTGCTACTTCTGAACTATGCAGGAGTTGAAGAAACCTGGAATAAAAAACAATTCTCATGCTCTTTTATGATTTTGATTTTATTTTTCTTCTCTTCATGATTCATGAGTCCATTTTGGATTCCTCTCCACCACTCCACAAACCCGGTGGTGGTGACTTGTCGGTCAGGTGTGGTCTGCCAGAAAAAAAATCACACACCGCCACTAACACAATTTCTGTTTAAAAAAAAAAAAGATTTTACACCCCTATCTACACAATTTAGATTATTTCATAGGCAGGCTTCTGATCTTGCCTGTCACGGCCAACCTGGGCTGAGAGGGATACATGTACAGCAGCAGAAAGACCAAGATGTTTGAGAAAAATTTCTCTCCAAACTGGGTCTCCAGCGTGCACCTCACCACTACACCAGAGACATCAGCACACAATTTCAGGCTGGCCAACTTTTTCAAAACTCAATCAGAGTCACCCACAGTCATATAACATCAGACTACAGACTAAATAATAACAAACAAAAATAAATAAAGTGGGACTGTTTTTTTAAAGTGGAGAGTATGTGTTGATTTTTTATTGAGTAGGTGTTTTACGGCGCTATCGACCCAATTTTGGTCATTTAAGCGCCAGAGTATGTGTGATGATAAGGATCCTAAGGACACCAGAGGAAGGAAAAAGTGATGTGTGATAAGGCTCTTAAACTCAAAATCCCGATTGCCGAATCCACAACAGTTCCCAAAAAATTGCGACAGTTTGCAAGCCTGCAATTTACAAAATCTTCTACTTCTACCCTGCCAACCCAGGCTGAGTGGGATGCATCGTCCTGACAGAAAGACAAAGATCCTTAATTTTTATATTTGGAAAATGAATTCATGCCTTTGCGAAATGAGTAACTATTACAAAACAGACGTCAGGTGGGTGATTGGCAGGTGCTTTGCTCCTTCTTTCCTCTACAACATCTATTATCCACATCTCCTCTCTTTTTTTAAAATGTCATTCTTTAGTAAAGCCTCTAATCTTTTCTTTTTTTTAAAGTAGAGGTTTTACGGCGCTCACAACTGCATAAGGTCATATGAGCGCCAGAAGATTAGAGGTGTTACAAGAGAGTAACAAACACAAAAAAGAAGGAGGGGAGATAAGGATGACAGATGTTTGATAGGAAAGAAGAAGCAAACCACACCAGAGCACCCGCCAACCACCCACAAAAGCCTCTAATCTTGATCTATTTGTGTTGCAAGTGCCATAAAACTCTTATTCTTACTAAAACTAAACAGATTCCATTGATGTCCCCTGCTTCATCTATACTGTAGTGCAGTCTAGCACACACATCATGAAATTAGCAGAACTTTGAATGACATTTTTTTGTTATAAAAAATTTCGCTTTTGGGTTGTGGCACCCTGAGCTGGGTTTCACAGGGTTTTGTCGAAAGGATCTTCTTCCAAGAGACAGGTCTGAGACTGTCTTGGAATGTTTAGTAGGACCACATGGCAATTCAAAAAACCCAAAAAAACCCTCGGTAAACATGTAGTACTTAAAGTAAGACAGATGATAGATGTCATTCACAGAGGAATGAAAAAAACCTCAGAAAACAAGCTTCACTTTTTATTTTATTTTAAGTGTTTTACTGCGCTTGCAACTGCATAAGGTCTATGAGTGCGCAGGACACATTAAACATTTTCAGTTTCCAGGAGGCGGCCGAAACCTTCTCTTATCGATTTTAAAACACAAAGGGATCTTTAACATCCGCAACTTGCACACGAGACCTCCAAGATTTTTTGAGAAGGCTAGGTGCAGATCTTTCCTACCAGAAGATCAGGGGTGTGGCTGAAAGACAACAGTAAGAAGGAGCCAAGGAGTAGCAGTAGAAAGGCTGCAGAAAGAGTCAGGA